ATTGAAATGTGAAAAGGAAATACACAGCCGATTAAAAAATATAGATATACTTTTTTTTAAAAAATTCGGAAATATTAAATTTTTCAAATAAATATAAATAAAAGTATTTTTAAAATTGAACGAACGTTTAATTCAACGCGTTCGTCATAAAAAAGGAACGCGTTCACGTTCAAAGTTCGTCAAAAATAAAAGGAACGCCGTTCATCATTTTTTTCAAAAAAACGAACTTCGTTCACGAACGCGTTCGTTTACAACACTAATTTTTTAAAATAAATTTAATTATTCTGAAATATTTTAATCATTTATTTTTAAAAAAACAACAATTCCGAAAAATTCGAATTATTTTAAAAAATTAATTGTTCACCAAATATTTTAAAATTATTTCTAAAGTCCTTAGTACCTATTGTGTTGTGTTAGTTTTAAAACAAAATATCCCAATTTATATTCAAATCTATATATTTATTATCTTTTCTATCTTAATATTCAAATTAGAATATAACTTGTCCTAAGGTTTTCCAGAATTTTATATAGCCTAAATATGTAACAACACATCACTAACTCTTCAAATCGACGATCTTATATCCGTCAGAATCTGTATTAGTCAAGGTTGTTAACCTGGTCGAATACGGTCACTAATATAAAAATCAGTTTTTCAATTCAATAAATATCTTTATTTTCTTTAAATCCAAGAATGAAAATTAGTAATGAATTGTCGTAATCAATACATATTTTTGAAACAAAATATATGATTGAGGTACATATTTTTGAAACAAAATATATGATTGAGGTATTATAAAAAAATATATAAATGCCAACTGCAACAACTTGCTTTATAAAAATTAAATAAATTGAAGGTGTTTAATATTTCATTCTCATTGACGCTGAAATTTCTGCTAACCTTATGCATGGGCTGTTACGAAAAAATGTCATTCCGCTTTGATTCCAAAATCAAGTTCATGGTTTGATTATGAAATTTATTCATATATTGAGTACTACATCATCAGAAAAAAAACATTTTTGATAAATTTTGATTTTAAGAAAATTATTCATTTTAAGGTTAAAAGAAAAATTGGTCTTAAATCTGCAAATTTATTAAAGCTCACTTTTATATCAATATGACTTGTTTTAAAATTAGAATATAATTCCTTATGATCGCATATAATATGAGTATTTTCTTCAATTCTCTCTTTAAACCTTTATTGTTATAAAACGGTTTTTACCTGGCATCATACTATTTTAATCGGAATTATGAAATTTTTCAATAATATAGGTTCGAAAAACACTTCCATTTAAAAATTTGTGGAGAACACCTTTTTCCTTTACCAATTTGTTAGCTATCTTTAATAAAACGACTAATTATTAGCTATTTAGAAAATGATCATGGATTAAAATATATCGTTTTATTATATTTAAAATTATCTCACATCATATTTATTAATTAAATTAGAATGTTCTATTCTTTTTATATATATATTTATTACATTTAAATAATAAATACAATTTATTATTCCTTCAAACATTTTTTAGTTAGATTTCCTCATAAACCTCTTTGTAGGTTTACGGTTTCTTGATCAACAACGTAATGCAGTATTTGTACCTGCTTCATTTACTGGCTCAACTATTTCTGTAACTCCCAATGAACTTTCATGAGTCGGAATAATTGAACGATTTCTTTGCTGATCTGCGTGTTCCTGCAATGTTCATTCGGGAGTTACAGCAATATAAGAATATAACCCTATCCTTTCTTTAATCACTCCCTTTCTCCAATCTTTGGTGTTCTCATTGTTTAACCACACAGGTTGTGAAATCTCGAATTCTCTCCCTTTCGATAAATCATGATTTTGACATTGTCTTTCATTTGCCTTTTCAATTTCATGTTCTACATTTAGTCTTATCCAGTCCAAACTAGTTTTCAATTGTTTTTCAAACATAATCTTGGCAGGAGATCTCCATGTAGAGCTATGCTCCCCCAATCGATAATTTGTTAAAACCTGTATCAAAGCTTCTTCTGGATTAGAAATTGACTTGTTGCGTAATATCGACCTTTCAAAGTTCGTATTGTACGCTCAGCTAATCCATTAGTTTTCTGATAATAGGGCATCAAACGTATATGATATATGTTATTTAGTTCACAGTACCGACGGAATTACCCAGATATGAATTGTGGTCCATTATCTGACACATTTTACTTGGGTATTCCTAACCTAGCAAATCATTTTTTAATCGTTTACTCATAGCTTCAGAAGACGTATTCTACATTAGATCAACTTTAATCCATTAGCAGTAGGAATCAACACCGATTAGCCAATATCGTGAATCCACTGGTCCAGCAAAATCAATATGGATTCGCTCCCAAGATTTCTTACCTACAATTCAATAATACAGAGGTACTTCTTGAAATTCAGGTCTATTTTTCTGGCATCTAGAGCATATTTTGATAAAATTTTCTATATCAATATCATATCTGGGCTACCAACAATACATTCCTAGGATGATGACCCCTGTGAATCATTCCTAACGCTACATTTATTAATTTATTAGGAATAACAAACCTCCCATTCCATTCCATAATATCACGATCGACAGAAAGCTCTTCTCTTCGATTATAGAAATTAACAATTTCTTTATCTTTATGACGATCAACGTTTCGCCTTTGCTGATTATGCATTGCTAATTTTTTTAAATATTAAATCTAACTTCTACTCTTTTCGTAGAATATTTTCTACAATTGCATGTCATCTAAATTAATACTTCGAATCTCCAAAGCATGTTTAGAATCTCGATTCTCTTCCATGTCTAATATCGCAAGCCTTGATAATGCGTCGGCGATTACATTTTTACTACTTCTATTGTAAAATCATAAGAAGCCATCTTCCAGGCCGAACGTGTCAAACGTTATTGGGAATTTTAGGTAGATCGCGTTTCTCCCCAAATAATCGCTCTAATGGTATGTGATCAGTTCGAAGTAAAAATTTTCTGCCATAAATAAATGAATAAAATTTTTCAATACCAAATAAAAGTGCTCGAGCTTCTTTATCAATCTGAAAGTAGTGTTTCTCAGATTCTAGTACGCGACGCGTAAGAAATAGGCGGTGTCCTTCCGTCTACTAATTGATGTAACACAGCCCCTAATCTTGAATCAGATGCGCATTCCAAAATTATAGGCAACTGCGCCTTATAGGAATTCACGTTTCCTCCAAAGACAATAATTTTTTAACCTCATGTACATCTTGGGTCCACGCGGTACTAAAACGTTCATGATAATTCACGAGTCCTAGGAAAGATCTAAGTTGTTGTATATTCTTAGGTTTTGGTGCATTTCGGATAGCCTCACCTTTTCAGAATTAGGATGTATACCGAATTCATCAATAATCACCCGTAAAAATGATGCTGATTTTTGTAAAAATCTGACTTTCGTCAATTTCTCCTTAAGACCAGCCGTCTGTAATCTTATTGCCAAAACATGTTAAAAATATTTTTTTATATTGACATTCAGTAGGGCTTACTTTTTTTAACCGAAAACTGGCTTCCCATTGAGAAAAATATCTATAAATCGAACATTCGCCATCGAATTTCAAATTTAATCGTAGATAAGTCCTTCATTTTCTTTTATCCACCAAATTTTCTGAATCTCCATTTAAGAATTATTTTCTACATTTAAGGAATCGCCATCTATCGCCATTTTAATAAAACGACTAATTATTACCTATTTAGAAAATTACCATGGATTAAATATCGTTTTATTATATTTAAAATAATTACATCATATTTATTAATTTAATTATAATGTTCTATTTTTTTTCTATATATATTTATTACATTTAAATAATAAATACAATTTCAGGATTTCCCATTCAAAAATAGGATAAGGTCGGATCAAAAAAGGTTAGTAACAAAAACTTAGGAATAGTTTCTATCAAAAATAGGAAAAGATAATATAAAAAAAGGAAAAGTCCCACAATAAAATAAAAAGATTCATTTAAAAAAGGAATTATTTATTACTTTACCTGCATCGATCCAAATGCACTATTCAACCACAACTTATATGCTCTCGCCCTTGCAGGCAGAAATCCGGAAAATCACCAAATACAGCTAAATCGATCTAACACATCTTTACCCATCGCCTGCTCCATTCCTACCTATTTCGGCAGAAAAGCTCAACGCTTTTTTAAAGAATTGGCGAACTATTTTCTTTTTTGTACATCTTTTAAAATTTTTTTTATCCCTTTTCCTTAATTCTTTCATATTTATCGCCTTTACTAATTTTGTTTTAGGAAAAAAATAGTTATATGCCTTTATTTTTTAAATAATATATTATATTAGCTATATTTATCCAAATAAGGAACAATTGAAAGGGAAAAAAAAAATTTTTTGTCATTTTTCTTTAATCACTTGGGCTATAGGTAAATTGATCACTCTCTACACAAACATCAATAGCAACACCCTTGTCATATCAGAAACCAAAAAAAAAATAAATATAAAAATCTGAGTAATTTTATTTTTTTTCCGATAACCATACCCATAAACAGACAATTTTCTCCCTACACCTTGATTTTTAAAAGAAACTTTGGTTCATAAAATCTGAATCCAAATATTGGAACCCAAAGAATTAGGTTATTAAATATAAAATTATTAAATGCCCTATTCACTTCAGAGATCTATTTGCACGACCTGCCCTAGCTGCTGCGAAATTTTTTGGCCCTGCGCGTAATTTTTTCAGCCTACCCCAGCCTATAAAATATTTTGCGCAGGTTGCCGCATTTTAATTTTTTTTAGCCTGGCCCATAATTATTTTATATGATAAAAGAATCATAAATTTCCATTATTCAACGTTAAAAAAATATCTTGAAAATATTTTTCACGAATTGACAACCCGGCCGGAAAAATAATTTGCACAAGTTGCCCGTCCTGGCCTGAATTTTTTACCCGGCTTTAGATTTCTAGTTCATAGCACATCAATTAATTAAAAATTAATTTTTTTTATTAATAAAAACATACAGATTATATACCCGATATCAGGAATAATATAATTGAAATCGTAAATTTATTTCAAATTATTATACCATCACCAGAAAATTTTAATGTCATTGACAGCTATCATAAAGGTGATGTCTTATTTAGTGCAGATGATATTCTCAAAAATATTTCCGTAGGTTATGATGATAAGACTTCCACAGAGGATTTTTTTAACAGTGTTTTGGTGACATCCGGGTTGAAGAAAGCTACTAGACTACATGGCTATCACATTAAATCATTTGGTAATTTTAATATACCTTTATCACAACCATCAGCTCAAATTTCCAATTCCAAAGTTTTGTGTGATAAATTTATTCGAGAGAATCTTAATGAGCGGAAACATTACATAGAAAATTTTATATTTAAAATATGGCGTTGGAAATTTACATTTGAAAACATCTTTAATACAAACGAAGAAATATCCAGCAATATAATGCAAAACATAAAAAAGTTGGGAAACACAATATCTATATCAAAAAATTTGTTTTCATTGCAAAAACCTTCTTATAAATCTAAAATAGATGGTAATTGTTATATTACTGCATCTCGGCAATGCAATACTTCTCATACCAATATAGGTTTAACGAATAACCTTAGACATAGCAATATATATCATATTATTGAGAAGATTGCTCAAGATCTTCCCAAATATTACAATTTAATAAGTGATCTGAAATATTCACAAGATTCTCAGAAAGCAAATAAAGAAATGCACCAAATTTGTACATCGTGGAATAAAAAATTGTGGAATTTTATATGTTTGTTAGAATCAGAGTTGCAAAATTACATATTTAAGATTAACCACCTGCAGGGAAGCGAAAATATAAGTAAAAGTTATGAAAATGATTCAAGTCATGAAGAGTTTGAAGATGTTTCATCCAATCACATTAATATCAACGAACATAACTGACAATTTAAAGTGCTTAAGGAGATATGCAAACTTCTCTAAATTATAATGAGTCAAAAAAATTTGAAAGTCTGATTAATATTTCTTTTATAAAGTCAAATTGGCCTATGTGATTGCGATAATAAGAATCGTTTAATAGCGCTCTAACCCTATAGCATTAAATTATGAATAAGCTTTTTATTCATAAATCTTTATAACTCAAGAATCCAGTTGCCCTAAATATTATTTTATAAGTATACTATATTTTTAATTCAATTTTAACACACATCAATAATAAATAAATAACTTCAGAAAATTAGAAGGAATTTTATGTTTTATTTTAAAATTTACAATGAGTATAATACAGGGTTTTTTCGTTGTTATCGAGTAGAAGCTCACAAAAAAATATGTAATATATTTTATTCGAGTTCCTCTTAGGCTCGGACTAAGCTTCTTAGGGGTGTATATTTTATTCCTTTTTTAAAATTTATATATAGTTTTTACTTTTATTGATAGATTTTAAATTTATTAATTCCTATGTATTTTCCTTTCACCTTTTTATTGTTTCTTTTCGACAGCAAAAAAAAACGTAAAGAAAATTAATAATTTATTTTCTTTTTTATATCTATTAAAAATAAATATAAATTGATTAATAATATAACTATTTTTATTTATTTGATTAAATAAAAAATTTTCGATTTAAAACGATTACTTACAATAAAAGATATAGGCTATATAAAAATAATATATATTTAATTTTTAAAAAGGGGTAATAAAATAATAAAATGTATTAAAAAAATGAACATGAGGGGGTGCATTTAGGTTATTTCACCGTGAATTGATATACTATGAGACCCACAAATTTCCATTGATAAGCACCGAGTGCCTTGAAAACATTTGCACTGGGTCCGAAAGCACCGATTGTGTCAGAAAAAATAGGGTTAGAGTAATATGGAATGCTTGTGTTATTAATTTTTCTAATTTCCGTTCTAACTAAGGAATTAGAGCCAAAGGATGGTGCAAACCGATCAACACATGTATAATCCCAATAAGCTGGATTTCCCTACTCCATGGAATAAGTGTCATTCCGTCTAAGACTTACAGATTCCAAAGTTGATGGAATATTAGCTGAACGGAGAGGTATAGCAACAATTAAATTTATTGCTTGGTGGCGTGGATGGCGGCCTTTAGAAAAACGGCAGTTAAGAGGGTGGTGACCTAGCGTATCGATAGGGAGCTGACATAGTTTGCACGATGAGAGTGTGACGATATCACAGTCTAAACGAAGACCTATTCTTCAATCCGAAGTTCTTCTAAGCAAACCAAGGTTAGAGCTAAGGATATCCTCAAGCCATTCATAGCCTGTGTTGAAATGATGAATTGATGATAGAGAATTACTACCTTGATTTATTGGGGGGAAGGAATCAATACTTTTATTTATTGGGGAGGGGATATCTGGGTTAAAAATCAAGGAAATGTCCTTCAATGCATCCTTCGAGTAAAGGAATTCAACGGATTGCTGGAAGGTAAATCTCAATCTTGTTGTCTGGAGGATAAAGGCAAGGAAACATTTGGGCCTTTGACTTCCATAGGTCTAGTGCCAACCCCAGATGGGGGTCTGTAGTGGTGGTAAAAATGTAAGAATTGTTTCACTTTTGGTGTATAAAGAAAAGTTGCAATACTCGATGAGGCTGGGAATCGAAAGCCTATACTCCCAAATTTGCACGGGAGAGTGGCTGGCATCCAGCAACTGGGCGATAATTTGAGGTTGAGTATTGATCCAAAGGAGATTTTAACTTTACCCTCATCGTGCAAACGTTCACTGTCGTTTTTCTAAAGGCATCCACGCCACCAAGCAATAAATTTAATTATTGCTAGAACTCTCCGTTCAGCTAATATTCCATCAACTTTGAAATCTGTAGGTCTTAATCTCTGTGACAATCCCGCTTATTGGGTTTATACATGTGTTGATCGGTTTGCACTATCATTTAGCTCTAATTCCTAAGTTAGAGCGAAAATTAGAAAAATTAATAAATACATTAGCATTCCCAATGTTACTCTAATCCTGTTTTTAATACAATCGGTTCTTTTGGACCCAGAGCAAAGGATTTTTTCAAAGCACTTGGCTAATGCGCTTAATTTCTGATGATCGTTAGGAAGGTTTTTACCTACGTCTACTAATTTTAATGGAAATTTATAGGCCTCATAATATATCAATCCACGATGCTTAACCTAAATGCATCCCATCGTGTTCATTTTTTTAAATACATTACATTTTATTAATTCGGGCCGGGTCGGGCCTTAAAGTATAATAAAAATATGTGATTTTATTTATAGAAAGTAGACGCCAAATAACATATATTGTTTATTTTGAGTAATTATAAAAATTAATTTCTATATTTAAATAAATTCGGGCCCTGCCGGCAAAATTTTTTAAAAAAAATTAGCCGGGCAAAACTTTATAAAATAAATTTCGGACCGGGCCGGGCTTGAAAAATTAGGCCCGATGCAGATCACTAGCCTATATCTTGTATTGTAAATTGTAATAGTTTAAAAAAAATTTTTATCTTATCTTTTCTTTTCTTTTCTTTTATAACTAAAAATAATAATAAATAACACATTTTTTATTAGGGAAACAAAAAAATCTATTATCACATAATCAACATTTTTTTAAAAAGAGTTTATATTAGGCTATGTCTTAAATTTAAAAAAAAATTACTCAAAAGTTTTACGAATTACACAACTTTCTTGAGTTTAGAGTGATACTAATGTTCCTAACCTTCCATTAAATTTTGAAGATGTTTGATGTGAATGATTTATTAATTCTATATTATTCGAAGAAAAAAGGCATAGATTTTTGGAAGGCCAGTATATATGGTAATATTTATTTCAGAGACCTTCAGAGGTATCATTTGACGGGCCGTCGGCCCGGGTTTAAAAATTTTAGGCCCGGTCCGGATCTTAAAAAAAAATTTTTTTAGGCCCGGCTCGGAATTTTTTAAAATTATATTCGACCTGGTATATACAAAAAATTCGTCTATTTTTATCATATTTTTTGGCGATTATTATCATTTATTAAGCAAGCATATTAGCTAATGTTAAAAATATTATGCAAGCCTGAAAATTTTGCTCATAGAAGGAGCAAAGGTCTAGACTATCGAAATTTCGAGGCTTAGTCAATATTTTTCTGGTGAAAATATTGAGTTAGCCGTTTTTAAAAATCGGCTCAAAACGAGCCGTTCAACAACACTAACATATTTTTTTTTATATTCTAAACAGATATTTAGTATATTACAAATTGATAACTATAAAAAATTTGTGTAAATAATATTTTGAGAATATACTATATTAATTGTATTTATAAAAAAAATAAAATTGATATTTTAATTAAAAAATATAACATATATTATATAATAATGTATTTACTTTGCGAATTTATTCCATGGCATGAAAACTATAATTATATTATGTAATAGATCTATGAGTGTTGGCTAGTGTTAATTTTCACAAAACATAACTATATATAATTATTATAACCATATCTAATTGACGAATATAATAATTCACGTTGTATAAATTTTATTTTAAATAGGCCCGGCCCGGGTATTTAAAATAAAATTTTCAGGCACGGCCCGCCCGGCTTGGCCCGGGGTTTTTAAAAAAAAATTTTAGACCCGGCCCGGTCCGAGTATTTTTATAAATTTAAACCTGGGCCTGGCCGGACCGGACCTGCAGGTCTCGATTTATTTTATACATATTAATTCTAGAGATCGAGGACTCTAAAATATTTGATAGTATTCCTTCTTTTCCTGACAAATTTCGTTAGACAGTATATACTATTGTGACATCAACATGTTGGTTATTATGGGTAAGCCTTCAATCCAAGCATCTTTATCTACCAACAGTTGAACAGAGCTTGAAATGTCAGCAAAGGAAATCAGGTTCTTCTCATATAATAGATATTATTGGTGTAAAGTTTGTAGAATAAAACAACCTTAAAAAGTGGATCCTCATTTTTTGATTATAAAAAATATAATTCCATTGTTATTCAAGCTGATATAGATAACAGAGCAAAGTTATATATTTCTATTTTTTAATTCTTCTCTAAATTTATGTTAATTGAGGTTAGCTTTCCTGGGTCTATCTCAAATAGAAGAATCTTTACAAAGAACCTATTTTATGAAGGAATGATCGATAAAATCAATCAAATTTACCAGCCATGGACTGAAAGCGCTAATAATATTAGATACATTTAACTTATATATAAATAGTTAATATTAATTGTATTCTATTATGGCCTAATATATAAAATTTTTATATATATCAACAAATTTTTATAATTTCCAATGCCTTATTAACTCATTCTACTCTTAATTTTATTTTACTTGTAATTTTTATCAATGTTTTATTATATATGGTAAATCTGTCAAAATTATTGCATTTTGTGGAAAAAACTTACATTTCAATAGTTTCCTAAATTTTTTATATTCATTTTCATATCATCTTTTAAATTTATTTATTTTGAAATATTCAATAAAAATTCTTCTTTTGACAATCATTTTATAAATGATTTATTTGTATTTAATTTAAGGAAAGACTGCTAAAATGATTAAATTTACACTATTATTTAAATTTTATATAAATATTAAATAAAATGACCATATGTTAACTTATATTTAGTAATGATTAATCAACTATTAATCTTCTTAATTAATTGCTTGTCCATATTTAATTTCAATCTTTATTCTATTAAAAATAAAATCTTATTTTGTTTTTACCCCCTACAGTGAAACGATACACATGTTTAAATATACTATAAAAGGGGGTAAACAAAATAAGATTTTATTTTTAATAGAATAAAGATTGAAATTAAATATGGACAAGCAATTAATTAAGAAGATTAATAGTTGATTAATCATTATAAAAAAAATGTGTTAAAATTTAATTCAAAATAAAAAATTAAAATACTTACATATTAATTATTTTTAATTTTTCTTAAATAATAAAAAAAAATGTTTAATATAAAATCTTTATTATCCAATAGTAATACTAATTTTTCCAATTTAAATGAAAACTCCCAATCTTCGTCGAGAATTCAAAGACCAAAAAGAATACACAAATATTGGAATAAAGAAAAATTAGATATAGTTACCAAAATGTTATCAATGCCGGAAAAACAACAAATGAAAATAAAAGACATCGCAAAATATGTCTAAAGGTAGGATTGAATACCTACCACCTTATTCATCTCAGTTAAATCACATTGAAAATTTTTTTGGAGTTTTGAAAAATAAATTTAGAGCAATCAATCCCCGCCCTAATTCAAGAGATTAAATTGTTAGGAATATTATTCAACTCTTACACGGATTTATTCCTTATGATTTCACTAACTTTTACAATCACATGCAAAGCTATTTGGAGTTGGGTTATCGCGGGCAACTGATTAATTAGGTAATCTTTATAATCGATTTGTATTAATAATTATAATATTAACTCTTTTAATTTCTAAAAAGGTACCAACATCAAATTCGTGGAAAGATGGAATATTTTGATAAATTATAATTATATTTTTTATGTATTAATTATTTTATCGAAATTATTATAAAAGTTTATAGTGTTATCATATTTTTATCGAAATAAATGGATATACAATATAGATTACATTTAAGAAATTCTAAAATATTTTCAAATATTAAAAAGACTTTTTACAAAAAATGATTTAGAATTTTATGAAATTTAATCAAATATCTTGAACATTCTCAAAGAAAATAAAAAAAAAAATTCATTTTTCATCACAAATTATATATATATGTAACACATTTCTTTTTATAATGATTAATCAACTATTAATCTTCTTAATTAATTGCTTGTCCATATTTAATTTCAATCTTTATTTTATTAAAAATAAAATCTTATTTTGTTTACCCCCTTTTATAGTATATTTAAACATGTGTATCGTTTCACTAAGAAAAACTTTTTTTTAAAAATTTAAAAAAGTGAAATAACTAGTTCCTTTCATTTCTCTAAATGGATGAATTTTTATTGAAATCAAAATAGATGATGAATAAAATGTTTTTAGTACTTTTTCATATTTCATAATGTTAATTTACCCTTGTATTATATTGTTAAAATATTTTGTTTTATAAGATTAAGATTCCTCTATATAATAAATGGGTATTTTATTTTCACATATCACATAGTATAATTTATACACAACTATTTATTTAAACATACATTAAATACATACTATAAAACGGATATCCCAAAATATAATTGATGATATAGGTGTTAGGTAGTTAACCCTACAAATTATTTTATTAATCATAAATATCTATGTATATAATCAACATTATATAAAACATATAACAAATTCCTAATTACTACACTCTATTCTTTGATATATTATTTATTTTAAGATAATTAACTTGGGAAATTTAATGTATTAAAAAAAACCCAAAATAGATATTTAGCTCTAGGTATCAAGATATTGAGGGCAATCAAAGTTCACGAACTCTTAGACATAATAATTTTTATTATAAAATATCATAAAAACATACAAAATATATGAAAATAAGTAAAAAATAGTAATATATATGGTGTTAAAATTTCAGCAAATTTGTTTTTGAATTCAAAGATTTATTTGTTTGTCCTCCGAAATTTTTTTTTTTAATTTTTTTTTTATTGCGAATAATTTTATTTAAAAAATGGTTTCAATTTATAAATAAAATTATATACGATATGAAAATGAAATTAATTCAAAAAAACAAATAAGAATTTTCAATTTTAAATGTTAACATGGTTTAAAAATATATATTAAAAATTAAATGTAAAATATTAAATAACAATAAAAATATATTGTAAATTTTTTCTCGCATAGTTAAATTAGATATTTATAAATTTAATAATAAATTTATATTGTTAAACTAATTAAATAGTTTAAAAATTTTAATTAATTTTTTATAATTTTTAAATAAAAGAAAATTAATTTAATTTGGTAAATATAATGAGAAAGTAAAGGTGAACGTTAATATTTGGGATTAAAAAATTTAAATCTAGAATAGTTTCTAGATAGTCCAATCGCTTAAATATTGATGCATCTACGATTGAGGATTTTTATAAAATAAATATTTTTACTTCCATTATTGATACAAAGATTTATTAGTCACAATTTTATTTTAAACAGCTTTTATTTTCTTTTGGTTGAGTCTAAATACACTTGAAACGCGAAAGGATATTAAGAAAATCTCAGAATTTTATTCTGATGAATTATCAGGATCAGATGATAAGTTACTTTGTGATGTCAAATTTTAATATAAAAATTTTAACATGAGACCAAAATATGCTTTGCAGGCCCTTTCCATGTATAATTGCACTTTAGATTCCCTGTCTAATATCAAAACATTGCTTTTTATTTTAGCTACCCTACCGATTAGCACCTTCACTAATGAAATGTCTTTTTCAACATTGAATAGGTTAAAAACCTATTTAAGAAATAGTACCGGTGAAAGCCGTTTAAATGGATTAGCAATATTAAATATTTATAAGGAGATTATTCTAGATAAAAATTTGATTTTAGATGAATTAGTCAAATCTCAGAGAAAAGTAGGCCTCTCTTTATAAATTCAAATTATAATATTGATATATTTTTATAATATGATCTTAGTCATAAAATTTTTATATTCAAAACGTAATTATAATTAATTCTTAGTCATAATATTTATATATTATACCATTTTTAATAAAAATATTGCATTTGCACTAAGAATTAGTGATCTGCATCGGGTCTAATTTTTCAAGCCCGTCCCTGCCAGAAATTATTTTAAAAAAGTTTTGCCGGCCCGAACCCGAAAATCTTTTTAAAAAGTTTTGTCGGCCTGGCCTGAATTTATTTAAATATAGAAATTCATTTTTATAATTATTCAAAATAAAAGATATATGTTATATGGCGTCTAGTTTTTATAAATAAAATCAAATATTTATATTTTACATAAAAAATTTAACATAAAATTGATATATTTAGATATATTTAAAAAAATTTCCAAGGCCCGACCCAACCCGGCTCGAACTTTTTTAAAAAAATATTAGGCTCAACCCAGCCCGATCTCGACTTTCCTACTTTTGCAGATCTCTAATAAGAATTATTTATGTTTTATTAATATACTCATTTGTATTAATTATATTATAATTGTTAAATTATAATTTTTAAAATATCCATATTTTATTGTAATTCTATTTTTTTTAAATATAGTTATTTAGAATAAATTTTTAATATAATCTATAAAATTTATACATTTTGAAATTTATTTTATTGTATAAATAATAAATAAAATCTATAATGAAATTCTCTGCAAAATTTTGTTTTGCAAAAATTTAATTAAAATAATTATTTTTATCATAGAATAAGATATATTGAATGAATGGGAGATTTGGAGGGGGGGGGGCGATTTTATTCTTCTTTCTACACCGAATGGATTGAATTTTACAATTGACTAAACATTGATAAAATTTCAAAATAATGCTTTCAGTCGCGTATTAATCATAAATTTGGCCAAAATTTTTTACTAATATTTTTTCATGTATGCTGGCTACTATAGTGGTTAGACACCAATAAAGCATAAAATTGGCAAATTTTTAAAATGCGGTTAGGGGGCGAAGCCCCCTAAAAAAATTTTTAACCCCCCCCCCCCCCCCCCCACCTCATGGATCAATCCTGGCTACGCCACTGGATGTGTACCATTATAATGAGATGCATCAGTTTTAATTTTAGCTTAAATCTATTTTAAAATAAATTATCCTCTAAATATTTCAATCTTTTCTTATAAATTTTTGATTTTAGTTCAAATGGTACTTATTACGGGTTAAATGATGATTTGATAGAAATGAGTATTTTAATATATTAGATTCTGCAGTTTCTGTAGAATGGTTGTTATTATTAGATGTTGCGACTATATCTACACATGCGTACTTCCATGCGAGAGGCCGACTAAATTTCCAGGGGATAAGGATATTTCATTATGGCTTTAATTGTCAGCTGGGTTCATCCATGTTGGTTCTAGAGTTAGGTACGCCTGCTTTTGTTAAGGTGGTGAATTATGTTATTTGTGTCTAATGGACCTTCCTTTGAAATTTTTACAATGCAAAGGACGATGTCCGTTAGATGCAACATGCATGTTACAAAGCGTTAATGAAAGGGAGTAACTATGGGGCAATTAGCTTGGATCCTATACCTATCTATAACTTTCGGTGATAAAGACAAGTCAAAGCTTTCACTTGATATGGCCTTCAGTCATTTATATCCATTTTTGTTTTTTAAGGAATGCAGGCTGTTTATTGCCAACGATTGCTCTTTTATTGCTATATGTTCAAGAACGGAATATTAATGGCCAGTTCCAATCTTTTTGCGAAGAAAATTGGAATGATTTAGGTGCCAAGCTATCAAAGCCATGTCCAATTATGAGTAATTATATTGCGTGAAAACTGGATTCGAGTTAGAACCAGAGCTCTGAACCCTAATTATGGATTAGTAATTTTAAGCTCTATTTAGTAGAAATTTTGATACAGAAACATAATTGGAACCAATATTGTGAAATTATCTGAACCTACCCTGGTCCATATTACCCCGAGTCCAACGGGCTGGTCCATGTTAGGTCTGCGGCCTCATAATCTTTAACCAAACCATTTTAGATTTCTCCCTAATTTGGTTCACAGCTCCTAGTTAGAACAAGCAAGTCTTGAATAAATAAAGCCAGAAAAAAGAGCTATAGGAGGAAATGAACATCTATACCACCAAATTTACTGGGCAAAGTGGCCTGTACCCTAGAGAGTAGAGGAATCCAAGATTACTTTTATCAAGGCCTTGAGTTACCAAGATTACTAAGAGCAAAGGTATTAGCAAACATTGGAGCCTAACGGAGAGAATATGTAATATTTGGGATGATAGGAAAATTTTGAACGAAAGCCTGGTGAGCAGGTAATCATGTTGTTTAGGTGATTCAATTTGTATCAATGTTATTTAAATGATTCTCGATGACGATGGAGCCTCCGATGATTGAGCCGAAATATGTCATAGCTGATTTGGGTAGAATGTCATGCCGATTTTTGAATCAATATCTGATGAATTAAACTCACATTTGTTCCTGTTTAATGCAAGTCCTTAAGGGGAATTAGTTCATCTATGATTATTAGGATTTGGGGAAACTCTTGCGGTCTCCTACCACAATTCCTTCGTCTATAGATATGAAATATTTAACTTTAAATTACATTGTTCTATTACATGATTGACTATTACATGAATCCCAAGGAAAAGAGCAGTTCCCAATGAGACTCCTTGTTGGGAACGGTGTCTTGGTCTTCTTTGGGAGGTGGTTGAAGAAGAGCTATCTTTTATATATTTAGAATAAAGAGCATTCAACTATAAAATCTCTCTTATCTAAACATTCTCAGGAATATATTTCTATCACAGTACACAGCACCATATCGCCTAATCCACAAGTTTAGAGATCATCAAGGCTATTAAATCATCTAAAATGAATTCGCCTGGGGATTTATATGGTTTCCGAGTAATTTACCTAGAGGATTTCACAAAGCCAGCTATTCCATGCCACCATAGCCTAATAGCCCTAACCATGCTTCTTAATAACAT